ATTTGGACGACCACCTAGACACTCTGCTTAGCTGTATTAGCCGACGCGCTTAATACTACATCGTCAACAGACTGACGGACTGAGACAGTCTGTGCGCAACTCCAGGACGCGACCCAACCAGACCGGATTTCATGCTGGGCGTGGATGTGTGGATCAGATATTTGCACTAAGATGGATCCTTGAATTCCGCCATAGCTACCAACAATCAACGGCCATCTGCTTTGCTGAGCTTGCCAGTGCTTTCGACTCCCTCAATCGTGACTCCCTATGGCGGATAATGGCAGTTGATGGTGTACCACCAAAAATAATTGTCATGATCAAGGCATACTACCGCTCCGCCACTGCGCGGGTTCTAGCCCACAACAACTTCTCAAAACCCTTCGCTATTCAGTCTGGCGTTCGACAAGACTGTGTCCTGTCACTCGTCCTCTTTAACTACGTCATTGACTGGGTTCTCGGGGAGGCCTTACAGGAAAATGAGGGTATTAAGCTTGCACCCGGTTGCACCTCGACTATGCCGATGATATCACCTTACTAGCTGCAAGCTTTGGCTATCTACAGTCTACGGTGTCACGGGTGAACGAGGTCGCGAAATCGGCCGGTTTGTCTAAAAACGCTGGGAAGACCAAAGTGTTTTCATGCTGCATCCCTGCCCAAGAGATGGGACCACTCGAGATTAGTGGCTGTCAACTTGAAGAAGTCGATGGTTCTCTCGAGATTAGTGACTGTCAACTTGAAGAAGTCGACAGTCTCAAATACTTTCGGAGCGAAAACTTGAAGAAGTCGACAGTTTCAAATACCTCGGAGCGATGTTGCTGCCGAACGGACAGAGTAAGGATGACATTGTCTCCCGAATTGACGCAGCACGACGAGTGTTCTTCAGCCTTCGGAAGTGCCTATGGACCCGATGCAATATTTATATCTCTTAAAAGATCCGCGTGTACGGTGCATCTGCGCGGCTCGTTCTCCTATACAGTGGTGAATGTTGGGCTATGCGCGTTGAAGATGAAAGGAAGCTGGAAGTTTTGAACCAGTACTGCCTGAAGAGCATCCTTCGAATGAAGTACACCGACTTCGTCTCAAATGAGATAGTCAACACTCGCTGCGACAAAATCACAAGGATATCCCAGGCCATTCACGAAAGACGACTGAGGTAGTTTGGACACGTTTTTCGTCGCCAACCTCAGGAGCACAGTGCTACTGCCCTCGACTGGAAACCGTTACCTAATTGGAAACGTCGAAGAGGCGGTCAAT